AGACAGCACACATACAACCACAGACAGCCACAGACAGCTACACAGACATCCAAACACAGACATTCATACACAGACATCCATGGGTGTCTGTGTAGCTGTCTGTGGCTGTCTGTGGTTGTATGTGTGCTGTCTGTGCAGCTGTCTGTGGTTGTTTGTGGCTGTCTGTGGGTGTCTGTGTGCTGTCTGTGGGTGTCTGCGGGTGTCTGTGGGTGTCTTCATGTTTTACTATTACCCAAAAATATTTGAGAAAACCGCAGAAGATTTTCAGAATCCTTCTCCTCAAGGCACTCTAACAATTAACTAGTGGATTTCAACTTCCTTTTCAAGATGTGGTAAAATTTTCCAAGTTATATGCGAAAAAAGAGATGGAAGAAGTTTCAAAAGTAAGATGAATGTAGAGACAAAATGATGGTTGCAAAACTAATTTTACTAAAAACATAAAAATATTGTTTTCTTAGTTCTAGTATCAGCCACAGACCTGCGTTGTTCCAGTTAATCAGCTCTATTATTTGTATGTAGTCTTGTCATTCACGCCTTCAGTCGATATAACGATGGAAGATTTAACATAGATTTGTGCACAGATGTCATAAATAGTGTTACTTTAAAGTAACTTATTGCGAATGTAAGAATGAGAGTATGAAATTTTTCAATAACTAATCCTTTGGACAGATAAGAAGAGAAATACTACAAGAGTTAGTGTTTCAATATCACCTAATTTGTAATACACGTTGAATTACCCTCATATATCAAACAAAGAATAAAATTGGAAGAGATGGAAAGAATGTGTTTGACGAGTACCGTAATATAAAACTCTAAGAATGTTGACTTATTAAGTTATTTTTAGGGAAACAGCTGCTTATTGTTGTTTCTCTCCTTCGAGAAAAATGTTGAAACTAAATCCTGCAAAAACGAAACGATAAAAATATCACATTGAAAAAAGACAATACCTTTGTGTTAATAGAGTGATCATATACATTAAGGGATCTTTTTTTGAAAAAACGATCACATTTTTACATTATTTCAGTCTGTGTGTGCACAGCATAGAAATGCTGTTCCTTTACTTTCACAATTCTATACACATGTTTTAAAGTGAAGAGATTATAGATCCTTTTCCCATCAGTTCATTTTACACCAAATAGCAAAAACGAATTAAATTACGAAAGAAACAAAGTAGAAAGAGAGAGAAAAAAGATAAAGTCGAAGATAAATAACTACCGACTATTGCGCAGTTGTAACTGGTATATTCATTAAAGCTGTGATTGTTGCATATATATAATTATGGCATAATTCATAGTTGCTTACTCAGCTGCTCATACTTACATATGATCATACATACACTCAGACTTGACTCGCATGTAAATGAGATGTTCATTGACAATGACACAATCGATTGATTTTACCAGAATATCAGCTGAGATACAGAAATATACTGTCGATTAACTGTTTAGAGTCCCACCGGTACCGGTTTAACACTCTTTATCGCTAATACAGGTTTTTTATGACAAAACACTTCATGAACACTATCAAAATCGATTAAATGTGCTAGGTACTTTAGACAAATATAGTGCGTATGAATAGAAAACAGAGCAGATAAGATCAGAAGAATAATGACAGGGTTCGTAACAATGAAAATGGAAAGTAGAATCAGAAGTAAAATATTATAGTCTATTTTTTATAGGACTTTTAAAGTAGCATAAAAAGCACAATGCACAATAAATGTTTCAGAAAACTAACGTAAATAAGCGTAAATAAAATGTACTCCTTTCTGCCATTCGACATAAAACAATAATTCAAGTAAAGAAAATCGTCATCAGTGGCCATTGTACTGAAACTTCAGGAGTTTGGACTGAAGTGAAGAGAGTTCTCAGGACTTTCAGAAGAGTTCAGGAGAAATCTTTCCTCTAAAATCCAATTAATCTATTCAAATTTTTTTCGGTCCATGTCGATTCACCGAGTCTAAGGATTCAATAAACTGAAGTCCATTGACCTGCAAGTAGTGCATTGATGTTTCGATCCGAAACACTTTCCATCAATTAAACATTCAATGATGTCAGGAGTGTGGATAAAATGTTTGACCTGTCAAATCTAGTAAACTGGTTTTGATTTAGTGATAGTTTTTGTAAAAATATGAAGAGTTCACTGATGTTGATTCGTTGATTAATATTAAGATAGATAATTCGCGGTGGCATGCATAGATATTGCAACATGTTTTTACTGTATTTGGGCTAACTTATATCTGTTACATTATTTTGTTTCAGCTATATTTTCATTTCTGTATCTTTTCTCTTCATGTTCATTAAATATAATAAAGTAGAAAAACAAACAAACAACGAGCGAACAAATTTAAAAACATTTTCATTTCAAAGAGAAAACAATTGAACAAAACAAAAGAGTTCGTGTAAAACATTGCAAAACGCGAAAAAGAAAAGGACAAAGCAATAAAACATCTATCGGCAATTGCATTACAAAAAAAAAGCAAGAGGAAAAGTCAAATATTCGCACACATAAAGAGAAGCAATTTTGGAAGCATTAAGTTTTTGTAATAGAAAAAAAAAAAAAAATAAGATAATTTACGAATATCGTAAATCCACAAAAAAGAAAACACAATGATAGATAAACATTGAAATACACAAATACATTCATATTAATTACACAGCTATTTAAACAACATTTTATATTAACTATTATGGGATAAAAATAATGGAAATGCACGACTAGATGAGGAGGATGTTCCGGTTGGTTTTGACGTCGTGGAATGATGATTCGTTGAATTTCGTCTTGCTGTTTGAGACGAGGAGGTAGAGCGTGATCGAGATTTTCGTTCAGTTGACACAGAATTTTGTCGTGATTGACCATGTGAACTCGGTTTTAAACGACCAATTTTAATTGTTACTTTACCATGTGGAAGAGTCTGAAAGAAAATTAAAACAGTAAAAATAGAATTCGATTAATCAAAGCAGAATTTACCTTTAATGTATAAGCTACATGTTCATATGGTGCTTTTCTTAGATCTTGTCCATTTACTTCAAGAATTAAATCACCCGACATAAGTCGGCCATCTTTTTCAGCTGATCCACCTTCAAGCTAAAATGAAAACATTCAAGTTATATTGATGAACAAACAAACAATATTCAACATACTATATGTGATATAAATACTCCAAAACCCAGTCTTCTTCCTATAATACTAAATCCAAGTCCTTTTCCACTTTTTTTTGTTAAATCAATTATAATTATATCAAATTTTTCTTGTTCATTCATCATTTCAGTAATGAGTGTACCACGTAATACGAGTATTCTAACAATATCCGTCGCTTGTCTTAGTACTTGAATAGCCTAAAAAGTATGTTAAAAATAGTAGAAATGATTGATATTTTTATTAGCGTACTTACTTCTTCATGTGTAGCTGATCTCATATCACTATTATTTACCTAAATAAAAATGATATATAATACATGATAATTAAGAATTATGACATAATACATACTGCTAATATTTGATCGCCAACAAATAATCTTCCATCTCGATGAGCTGCACATCCATCATAAATATCATGAATAACAATCGCTCCCAATTGTGTATCAGAGCCACCAACAACAGATAAACCTAATCCTGTTCGACCACGATCAATCTCAATTAATGTTTCTTCACCAACAACAATTGGTCTTGTACGTGGATCATCAGCCATATTTATTTTTACAGCTTCGATAATATCTAAATGTAATAGAATCGTATTAAGATTAATAAAAAAAGAAATTTCATTACTTTTATATCTTACTATTATTGTTTGTAGTTGAATCTAAATGAATAGCAATCGGCACCGGTTCAGATTCACGATATGGTACATATGTTAATTGAAGACGATTGATGGTTGAATCATTTAACAAATTTTCAACATCATCAATTTTCATTTCAGTTATTGGTTTATCATTTATCATTGTTATTTCATCACCAGCTCGTATATCATTCTATAAAACAAAACATAATGATTTATTGATCAAGTTCAACAAATTTTTCAACAATATATGATAATTTGACAAAACTTATCGTTTAATCTTACTATCAGATAACATACATAGTCAATGTCAAAGAAAAACAAGTCAATTACGTTTGGAAGGTAGTAAAAATTAGTCGAAAAGATAGTGTCACATTTCATCAATTCATAAATTTAGCTATCTCATTTATCGTTCTTATTATTCTTAGTAGTATAAACAATAGTGCTTACTCGATCTGCTGGGCCATGTGGAATGACGCTTTTAACCCAAATACTATTATCATTTTGGGATATTAAAGTTAATCCAAAACCATTTGAATCCTTGAAAATAAACAAAAAATAAATATAAAATTACTTTATTTTATTTATATTTTATTGCTAAAATTCTATTTTTTACCTTATTTAATACGACTGTTAACGCATCACGAGGTAATCCATTTCCTTGTTTTTGTATTGTACTATTAGTAGTTGATGACATGTCATATTTAGATGACTGAATTTCTTGTCGTTGATGATCTTTAGTTGTTTGATTATTTATGACATTTTTTGTATCAAATTCGATGTTTTGTGTTATTTTTTGTTTTGTTGATGATTGACTTTCAATAGATGATGGTGTTGATGGCGATGATTGTGATGATGAGCTTGACGAAGATGACGAAAGTTGTTTTAGTTGTACATGATACTTATCGTTTGTTATCTCAGACAATATTGTATTATTATTTTTAGATGTTGTAAAAGAAGAAGCCATTTCCGTTGCTATGTAGGTTGGAAGAAGATTATAATTATTAGTATCTAATAAACTTGAATTTGATTGTATACCGACAAGTTGGTCGTGTGGAAGTGAAACATCTAAACCACAACCAAACTTAATATTAATTATCACTGAGAATATATACATACATAAATAAAGAGTCTGAAAAGTTATGCAATCTTTCTAAAAAGAATTGTCTTTTTTACCACTCATATAAAAAAGACATTCTTTCCGATATTTTAACGAAACAAAAAAAAAACTCTTATAGAGAGAGAAAGAGAAGAAAAAAAAGCCCACTTACTTTTTTTTCTTCATGTCATGTTGAGAAAAAAAAAAGAAATAAAAAAAATAAGGACATATATACTGTACAGAGTTTGACTATACGCTGATTAATAGAATAGAAAAGACGAAGTTTTAAAACCCTTGATAATTGACGTTCACAATATCCGACATTTAATTTTCAAAATGATAATTTAGTTTGATACAAACCTTTTTTATCATTCACTAATCGAAGATTTTGAACTTGTTGCTGTTGTTCATCTTCTTGTTTTTGTATTTCCTCTTGATAATTATTATCAATAGATGATGGCATATTTTTTTCCAAATACATATATTCGCTATTATAATTGATATTATTGTCATACGTTGTTTTTATTATCGATTTTTGATCTAATGTTAAAATATTATTTTTTTCATCATCATTCTGAACGTTCTTTATTATTATATTAGAAGGAAAAGAATCAACATAATTTTCTGAAAAATATTTTTCATCATTTGTCGACACGATAGAACTTGTCACATCATTTTTTTTATCGTCATAAAATGTCATTTTTTTCTTTCTTTCATCGTCAGCATCTATAAAAATATTATTATTATTATTATTATTTTTTTTGTGTTGTTGTTGTTCATTCTGTTCCTGTTGATGTTCATGATTATTCATCAGGAGTTTTGTCGTATTTTTTCCATTATTATTATTAAAATCATCGATCGAAATATTATCTGTTTTTATTTTTGATTGTAATGGTAATGGTAGTGAAGATGAAAATGATTCATCATGTATCAAAGAAAGATTATTATTTGTTTTATTATCTGATATAAAATTGGATGGTGATGATGATGTTAATACAGGAATTTGAATAGGAGAATCTATGGCAGATGACGACTAAAAAAAGAAGATATTATTATCTAGAACATCTTTTTTTTTCTCTAGTTTAAGTTATTTGGGAATAATAACAGTATACTATTTTTTTATTCAACCTACAGTATGATTGGAAGATAATTGAGCTATAGCCATATCATTCAATGCATTCGAATTTCTAAAATGATAAAATAAAAACAAAACAAAAACATGCGTGATAAACTACTTATTTCCTTTAATATACATTGGAACCAAGGGAAAAATATTTTAAATTTTGAGTGAATGTAAAAAAACAAATGATGAATCAATTCTTTCAATGTAACATGCAATAGAGATAGAAAGGTTTTTCTTCTTTTTTTTTTTTTTTTTCTTTTTGTTATTTCTAATTACAAAAACATGTCAACTCTTAAAAATAGAATCGATGTCAATCAATATTATTTATTATTATTTTTTACCTTAGTATCACGAAATTGAGTATATCGGCTTTGATTGATTTGATAATGGGTGTAACTATTGAATGCGCTTTACCATATAATATTTCACCGTTTACCTAATTGAGAAAAACAAAATAAAATACTAGTGTTCTTTGTTGTTTTTTTAACATGCAATTATTAAGGACAGATTAATGATATAAATAGAAAATATGACATAATTTAGAAAATTAAAAGCAATATATTTTCTTTCTATGAATAGTACTTTCTCTTATACATTAGCATATATATGCTTGTTTGTTTTATTTCTTTTGTCTCCAAACAATCAACATAAAAATATTAATTTGTCATGCAATCTTAATCTACTATAGATCACATGTTTCATTAGAAAGAAAAGAAAAGAAAATATTCTCAAATTCTCCATAAAACAATGAATTCAACATTATAGTGGACAAATTCAAATACTAATGATTAATAACTTAAACTTGAACTATAGTATAGACTTAAAAATTGTACAATTTGTACTAATAGTAGAAAGAAAAATCGTAGTCATATCATATAGTATTGATTTTTATCTCTGTCAATTTTAATGCATTGTTTCAATTTAGAGTAAAAATAAATAAAATTTTTAAATAAAACTATAATTAAAACAAATAAATGTACTATGCAATTAATTTTAACTTACTTCTAATAATTGATCTCCAATTTTTATTCTATTATCTTTATCTAATAATGAATTTGATTCTATATCACAAACAAAAACGGCTAATTTTTGTGGATCTTTATGTCCAATTAATGATAAACCTAATGGTTCAGATTGTGTTTGTCTGTTAATATCTATTAAATATATATCACCGTCTAAATGTCCATATTGTTTTAACAGACCACGTTCGATTTGTTCTTTATCATAAATATCTGAATTTGAATTATTATTATTATTGTCAGATTGAGCATTATTTATAATAGCACCGATATGATGAATAATTGTTTTAGATCGATTTTTATTTTCTAATGATATGGCGTTACGTTGATCAAATGTTGATGATATTAATGGAATGTTCGGAGATAACGATGATAATGTCTCTGTATTAGGTGTTGTAATATAATTGTCTGAGGATGGATTTGATGGATCTAATAAACTTTGTACAATAAAACATACAGGTGATTTTGCTGCACGTATTATTTCAACGGCTTTATCATGTGATGCTTCACGTAAATCATAACCATTCACTTCAAGTATACGATCGGCCGTTTTTAATGTACCATTTGCACCCGCTGGACTATCTGGTAAAACATGTTTAATAAAAATACCGCTAATACATGATTCAATTGAATTTGAATTTGGACCTGAAACATCAAGTTTTCCTCCGACAATCGATATTCCAAGACTTTTACTATTTGTATGACGATATAATAAGACCTCCCGTGCACAACCCCATAATGTTGCACTCAAGGTTTCACTATCAACAATACAATGACGCTGTTGGTGTGCTGTTATAACTGACGAATGTCTATTCAATGATGATGATTCAAAACCAGATGATTCATTATCCGATGGTAATACATGCTTTGTTTGTTCAATATCTAAATCATAAATTCTAAAAGAAAAAGAAAAAATCGTAACATTCATTTTATTTATGTAATAATGTCAAATTATACCCAAGTGGTGACGTAGAATGTTGTTGAGCAAGTTCATGTTCTCGTTCAAGTGTATACTCTCTGAATACATTTGCTTCATCATTTGGAATATAAATAACACTAAAATAATATTTTTAAGATATTATCATCATATGTCATTTGAATTAATATCTTTCTTACCTTATATCTGACCCCATTAACGATGCTCGTCGAATAATTGATTTTGCTTGTGCATTACTTATTTTTTTCATATTCTCATTATTAATTGATAAAATGTAATCACCTACTGTTAAACCGTACTCTGATGGCATAACAGACTTTATAATGCAACCATTAACACCTTCATCAATATAAGCATTCACAATCAATCCTAAAACATAAAATAATTTTATTCATATTTATTATTAATTATTATATTAAATTATTTAAACATACTTAATTGTTCAAAATTATGTTTTATACGTATTTCTCGTTCAAAACTTGATGGATATTGGATAACTTCATGATTAAGAAATGTGATTACTCTTCCAGATGATTGTGAACTAGTAGATAATGCTGGTGAGGTAGCGTTCATACGTGGTGATTGACGTTCTTTTGTTATTTGATTCCATTTGTTTGATGGTGGTGGTGTTGTGGGTGTCGTTGTATTAATGACAACTACAGATGATTCTATCTGTTTTTGAGACGTCGTTGGTATTATTGTTGTTTCATCATTATGGTCAATTTTCACATTTTTATTCATGAGATGATCATCTGACTCAAATTCTGCACGAGTTATTGTTGTTGCATTAACAGTACGAAAACCATGATAATTAATATTATTTAAATTTCCACCGCCACTCTCACGTCTATTGTAATCAGACTAAAACAAATAATAAGAAACGATTTGTTAATGTTAATCTGATTAACAACATATTATGTTATTACTTGATATGATATATGTTTAGTAGCACACGAAGAAAACAATATCAAGAAAAACCTATTACTCTGATTTTTTTTTTCGCTAAAAAAAGATAAAATATAAGTGGAACGTTTTTTTTTTTTACAAGAACTAATAATATATACCGATTTTTTGCCAAAGTATGTTCTCTAATATATTGTATCACAAAATGACAAATGAATTCAGAAAAAGAGAGTTTTTTTTTCTTTTAATCATATATATGTGAATATTAAAAAATTCACACGCTGTGTATGAAAACAAATAACATATGGTATCGATGACGTTTTTCTTTTTCCTTAAAAATTATTGAGAACCAGGTCCGATATTCTATGTGTCTATATATAAAAAAAAAGAACAAAGATCAACTTAATGTCAACATGTTAATTGGTCGTTTTAAATCTATTTTGTGCGTATATCATGATGATTAATGATTGACTGTATAAGTAAGCACACATCACTGTAGATATCACACTAATTATATCAAAGCGTAATTCATACAATCTGTTCATAATCCACTAGGCAAACTATATTTTCAATATATTAAATATAAACAGATGAAGTCTTGGGGCAATTAAACAAGAATACGATGATGTCTATGTTCAATAGAAGTAAAAGATTTCATGATATCCACATAAACTGACTATTTTATAAAATAGTCAAAATTTTGGTTTTTGAGCTTATATCGAAGAGATTGAAAACTGAAATATGTCAAAAATAATGTACAGAACATAAAGTATGTTATTATCAAAGAAAAACAAAAGAAAAAAGCATATTGTAAAACAGAAGAGATTAAAGTTTCGATTTTAAATGAAAATGTTTTGCATCATAAACTGAATCATGTTTAGGAAATATATAGGCCGATATATGACTTCAGTGAAACGTTATTACTCTTTCGAAAATAAAGCATATAGCACACAGGAAAACAATCAAAATATCGTAAATAGTTGAGACAGTACGTTAAACATATTTAAAAAAAGAAAATTGTGTTTTTGTTTTTTGAATAATAATATAACATTTGTTTACTTTTAGTGTACACATACCACAGACTAGAGATGTACACGGGTACCGTTTTCGTATCCGTACCCGACCCGTATCCGGCTTATGCCTAAAAATTTTTTCCTTTTCGTTTTCTAGCTAAAATGTTTTGTTTTTCGGCTGCAGTTGACAAATTATCATTACATTCTCAAGTAACTGTTTTTTAAACCTTCGTGTATTTTAGCTAAAATCTTGTATTTTTCCACTAAAACCTTCCGTTTTTCGGGTAAATGAAAAAAAAATGGGAATCCGTACCCGGTCCGTATCCGGCAACGTCGTACCCGTATCCAACCTTCCGGTCGGATCGGGTACGGGTGCATATCTCTACCACAGACGTTGACGAATCGTAAAGTTATTACTATTCAATATTTTCTTTCCTTCTCTTCTTTTGTCTAGCGATAAAGTCTTTTATTTTTATTTATGAACGTGAAATGTAACTACATTTTACATATCTCCATTAGATCCTGTATTTTTAGTCTCGTTTATGTTTTTTCTCTCTGCTATGTAATGTGATCTTTTCTTTTTGTCTGCTCGAGTCAACACCAAATAGCAACCAATATACAATAGAAAAAATAACCAAAACAAGTTGATTATTATAATGAAAAAAAAAAATATGTATAAAGAAACAAAACTATTGTCTACAATTGAACAGTCCATTTTTCTCAACTCACATACACAGACACAGAGAATGAAAATAATTTCGAAGTAGGAGAGAATATATCAAGGCAAAAATCAACAAGAAAATCAATAGTTTCTGTAGTAGAAAAAACTAATCTATCGGACGTAAAAATAAACAATCGATTGCTAATATAAACTTTTTTCATACATAAAATTACGCATTTTTAGTGTCAAACAAGAAATGTTTGATCAAACTTCTAGCAAAAAATTTCGGTAAATATGACGCTATTTTTGTTCATTAGATTACAATTGTTTGCGTTTTTATTATTTCTCTAATGATAAAGTAGAACATAAAACGATGCTAATTGCATTGCTCTATGTTGTCCTGCTGAACGTAATAAAAAAAATTGTTAGACTTATCTTTTTATTAAATTCAGTTGCAAGACAAGAAAAATATCACCGATTAATATATAAAATTCTGTAATAAACATAGGAAAATTATCCGTCAACGTCTTATTTATCATTTATCTTAGAAAAGTCAAATTTTTTTGATATGATCAGCCGCTGTTATATAATTAAATGACAAGCTATGCTCATTCATCTTTACGTCCTACAGCGATGGTAACAATGAAAGAAAATTCTAATCTAATCTATTATTTCATTTAAACAACTACTTTAATTAACTTACATCAATATTTGAATATGTTTTAGAATAATTTTTTTTTATTCACTAAAATTACTACCTCTTACTGAGTGTTTGTGTTTTTTTTTATTATTTTTAAAGAAAATATATTTTTCTTTTGATTTTTTTCTCTTTCTTGATCTTAATGACGAATAATCAGATTACAAAAAGTCAAAAAATAGAAAAATATATCCATCTGTCCTTATTTTATTCTCTGTTTTTTTATTAATTTTTTGTTTTTCTTCTTTTGTCTTACCATTATTACATTAATACCATTTTGTTCTTGATTTTTATATTTTTGATGTTTTGTACATGAACATATTCGAATAACAGAATATCCTTTTCCCATGTCCTTCTCAATCGATTAATATTTTATTTAATGAGAAGAGAGAATCTGGTTAGTGTTTATTGAATTAAAAAGAAAAACAGAAAAGAAAAAAGTCAATTGCTTTTTCATTACTTAATATCCGTTGATTTTTACCTATGTATATCATGAATGTTGCTTTCATGTTTTATTACTCTATTTATATTTAATTTTTTTCTTTCTTTCGACTCATCACTCGTTTCTATTCTCATATCAATATACACACACTCACACCTTAAGCAGAAAAAAGGTATGAAAAACACCAATAATCCTTCTCAATCGAATTAAGGATTATTTCGGTCACCAGGTGTAATCTGTTATTCAGCAGCTTTGGACCATTTGATGTATAGAGACAACAATCAAACAAAACAAAAAAAAAATAAATATATATATATATATATATATATGAAGACGTTGTATATATAATAATATCAAAAAAATGTAGAAAAAAACATGAAAATGAAGAAGCAGAATGGAATAGTTACACGCAGACACAAGTGTATAATGAAACCCATCACTGTATTATTCGTGCCTGCTGTTACTGATGTTGTCAGTGTGTTAAATCAAAAGAATCAAAAAAAAAAAAGAAAAGAAAATAAAGAAAAGAGAGAAATCGTAAAATCGACATTTTATTAGATCAAAAATATCTTTGTGTCTTCTTCTATCTTTGTGTAACAAAATTACAAAATCCATCTATGTTCAAATACTTGAAAAATGAGAATATCTTCCATATTTCTTTTTCTTCTTCTCGTTTGAAAATATTTTTCGAATAAAAAAAAGACAATAGAGACAAATGATTTTTATGGCACATCAAGAAGACAGAAAAACAACTAAACGACACTTTCTCTCTCTCTCTCTCTCTCTTTCTCTTTCTATATTTAACTATCTAAAGCATAAATATTATCAACAAAACTAATGTCAAATTAAAATGAGAAAAACATATCTTCACACACACACATATATATATATATACGCAATGGGACCCAGAACTGATAGACCAGCAATGTATAAAAATATTTTGTGACAAAAATCTAGTTGGATATCCTTTTTGTCTTAAACATTCACACAAACGGTTAGGAACTGAATCAACTAACTTTTTCGTAACATCTTGCCCAATCCCTTGCATATTCCTCCATAAGTCTTTTTCAAGCTTTTTCTTGTTTTTTCATCTGTCGTTCAAGTTCATCCCACATACGCTCGATAGGGTTCATATCGAGTAAATACGACGGCCAAACCACAGTCTCACAACACCTTTTTCATCAAGCCATTTATAGACAACACCCGGTGTATGCTTTGGGTCATTATCATGTTAAAATATTATTTTCTTACCTAGTTTCAGTTTCTTTGCTGATTAAAATAAATTTTTGCTCAAAATGTCTTTGTAGACATCGCCGGTCTACCAATTTTAGAACAGTATAAAAGCACGGGTGCTGACTATTTATTCAATAAAAAAATTGACAATTTGATATTTCAAGATGAAAATATCCACATATAGACTAGATTCCTTGAATAACAATGTAGTGAAAAAGGCACCGCCTAGCTTAGCTTATTTAGTTTTGTAGATATAGCAGAAACAAAAACTTTGGCTTTCTGGTCTATCAATTCTGGGATCTACTGTACATATGTATATATGTGTGTGCACACGTAACCTTTTGTTATGAAATACATTCTAACTTTGACGTTGGAAAGAAAAGGAAAAAAAATTATAAATATGAATTATGAAACAAATGCGAGTATAACAATCAAAAGTCGTTTAAGAATGTCAGCTAAATATCGTGAAAATGTCGCACATGTTTGCTTAAATATATCACGTATAGAAAATAAATCTCTAATCTAACATCTCTCGATTATAGTAACATTTGACACTGTTAGAAAAATAAACACAAGAAATACTGATACCTACTTCCAAATTTCTTGTTGGCTTTTAAAAAAAAAATAATCTAATTTTAAGAGCTAGATTCCACAAATATACATCGTGTTTGTTCTTCACAACGACTGTCAATTACAGTTATAAAACTTCATTATTACAGTAAATTCTGCTCTTTTCACTATCACACTCCATAAAAACAGTAAACAATATTTATAACAAAAAAAAAACGATTCATGTTGCATTGAGATCATGCTTTTATTGTTTGTTATAATTGACATATATTATGTAACAAAATCAAACGAAACAAAAAAGCAGGTGTTTTATCCTATTCGTCTCAATTGACACTCAGCAAATTTCTTTTTCTTCTTCATACTACTCTATCAATGTTGTTTAATGATCCGTGTAATTATCTTATTACTTTTTTTTTGTCATGCTACATTATAACGAGAAGTACCATTATATGCATTACAATGACGAACGCCTCTCCGTTTTATGCGAAAAAGAAAGAAAGAAGAAAACACAAATTACTGAGATTCATTATTCTAATATTTCATTTCTAGACACTGTTGAAGAAAATTGTGCTCCAGACAATCTTAAACTCTTATTTATATGGCACACTAATTTCTAACGGATATAGATAGCATCTTACAATAGATAAATGTCATAAAACCTTTCAATCGTTGTTGTTTTTGAATTGACAAGTAACAGTTTTAAAGAAAAAAAAAATGTTGAAAAAGATCATTTATAACTAAAAGTAAAATTACTCTCGTTCCTATTACCTTTTATTGGACTAAAAGCTAAAATTCCATTTGTTAAAAAAATACAATTTTGTAAGTTGTCCCATTAGAAACAAAAAAACAAAAGACAACGAGTGAAGTTGTCCATCCTACAAGAATAATATGTTTTTCCTGTTCTTTTTTTTCTCCTCATCTTCGTTTTTAACGAACATTTGATGCAATATGTAAGATACTTTTCTTTTGGATAATCTTCTGTGCAACGCGCGCTCTATATACAAGAGGAAAAAAAAGCTTGACAATAAACTTTTTAAATGAATATAACAATATATAGAAGAAGAAAAAAAATGAGCGTGCGCGAATGGAACAGAAAAAAAAAGGAAATTTTTATTTTTATTAGACATCTTTAGCAAAAGAACTGCAGACTTTGAATCCTTAGAGAAACAAAGTCAAGTTTTTGTTGTTTTCTCGGGAATATACAAAAAAATTAAATGTTTTGTAAATAATATTTAAAGAACATACATAAAGATGATGATTGATTGTTATAAGTAGTCTATATATATATATCTTCATATATTTATACATGCATCAAATAAACGAGTTTTTAACAAATTAATTAGAAAATACATACACAAGTATTTATACTATTAATAATTAACAAACAAACATGATTTTCAGTTGACTAAGATATAAACACATTGTACGGAAAGAAATATTTCGACAACGTCTTGCTCTCTCTCTCTCTCTCTCTCTCTCTCTCTCTCTCTCTCTCTCTGATATAAAAAAGCAACAACTTCATTTCATAATTCATTAATTAATATAGTGTTTATAAGATGTTTTAAAGATTTTTTAACTCTGTAAATTTGTTTCTTATCGTGTCTCTTATGAATAAATTTTTTACAGAAATCCACTAAGTATCATAGCTCATAAGTACATACTTAACATGTTTACAAAAAATATTCTTGTTGTTTTTCAATAAACCTATTATCTCTTTCATTTCATTTGCATTTTTATTGTCTATATACATACAGATTCATTAAAAACTCTTTTGATTACTTCTCTCTTTCTTCCTCTCTATCTTTTTTTTTGCGTAAAATCTTTGTTGGACATGTTCTTCTTGTCCTTTTCTCCTTGTTATTATCGTTGTTATTACTATTTATGTTTATCGTTTATAATCTAATCTAACGAGATATCATTGAAGATGACAGGAAAAGAATCAATGAGAGTTGCTTTTTTTTTCTAGATTGTGTATATATCCGGAAAAAGATGAGAAAGAGAAAGAGAGATAATCCACATCATCAGAGAGTGAGCACTTAGATTATTGAATAAAAATCAAAAATTATGGATGAAGGTTCCTTTTTTTCTTTTTAAAGCACTCCATTAGCCTTTAGACTTACTTACAATTTGTTAGAGTTTTGGCATCGAGTAACTCTTTAATTTATTTTGTAATCATTTTTTTTTTCAAGCCTATTATCTTAAAATGATTGTCAAATTATATCTGTACATAATTCTAACGTAAAAAATACTTGATTATTAACAAATGGTAGCTATATTTATCAACGTTTACACTTACTTCTTGAAAACATGTGACGGGTTCAAATTTTTTTTTAATCATTGTCGAACGTATTAAATATTCATCATAATCATCATCTTCGTCTTCAATCATTCTTTGTTGACGATTATGATAATATTGATCAGCTGTTGTTGCTTCTGTCGTTGTAACTAATGGCATGGCTAATAACGTTGATGTTTGACGATTAAAACGTGAATAGGAAAATGCTGATGAACCACGTAAACGATCATAAAACGATAGAGATGTTGTTGTTGGTATTAAAACAAGATGATCTGATTGAAAATGAATAAATTCAGGTAAATTTGGATGTTTATCTGTTATGTATTCAAATGATGAATAGTTTATCGATTTTTCATCATGTAAGAAAGGAAATACAGTTGATAATGTAAGATCATGATTAGGAATAATAGTATCACATTTTTCAGATTGTGATATATCGAATGATTTGTTATCAGATGTAAAATGTTTAATAGGTGTCAGTGTTTCATTTTCAGTTTCTGGTAATGGTGAACTTATTTTATTTGGATAATAATTAAAAAATGTACTTTTCGTATGTTTTGATTTATCAAATGTCATTAATGTTTCAAAATTTTGTTTATTTAAATTTGCCGGAGCTGAGAGAGCTATACCGGGTGATACAGCTGGATCATGGACAATCTGTTTAATTGTGGCTTGTTTATTATTATCTTGCAGAACATTGTCTGAGTGATTTATCTTAATGAACAAAATGAAAATAATTGATAAAATTTCAATTAATAATACTTCTATCAGAAGTAGTATGAACATATGAAAAATTATTATATCACACATATTACTACATTGTTAGTTAGCTATTATTATAGAGATTAATGCAAAGCAGTTCAAAATCTTCAAAAGTAAACTTTTCGCATGCTTATTTTACTCAATCACTTGCCGCTAAGAATAGACTTATTTATGTTGAAAGATTTAAACATGCATCTTTGATCTTGTGAAAAGGAAAATATTGTCCAAAATAGAGAGATATTTCAAAAACAATGTTAATTTATATATTAAAGTGATAAAAATATTTCAAATTAATATTGTCATTCGATATAAAAGTATACGCTTACAAAGAGAAAAGAAAAATGAGATTTAGTTGTGTCACAAGCGTGGACTGACTAAATATCCAGGTGAATATTTATCAAAAAAAAATTGAAAATGCTCTTTTTCAAAATTCAAATGGTGGAAAATATACTTCATGATATGAGCTATTTAATAGCATAAAAGTTTTTATTTCAAATGTCAGGGAACTTGGGAAAATATTTAGTCAAAAATTAGCTCGAAAAGATAGGGACAAACAGTAAACAAATTTTTGATGTCCGCCTGCTATTAGAGAAATGTATACTGTGTGACTCTTACTATAGCTTTTCTCTCAATTAAGTCAAACATTGTCAAGATACTTTGGTTATTCAATCCTCAGGAGTGGTCGCGCTCATCCTCTTCCTAATCGTCGTCTTAGCATATCTAAAGAACAGACAAATTCATTTTGTCAAAATTCTTTGTGAATCACACCAATTTATTGCGATTAGAGGAAAAAAATGATGTTGATATTTAAACTGAACCTTTGATTGAATTGTGTAAACTTGTTTTGCAAACGCTTCTTCGTTACAGAAAAGTTCAAGTTGTGAATCATCCTTGTTCAATACACAAGTGTTATAGAGATGTTCAACGTATATATTATCAATCTAGTTGAGAGGAAAGTAACAGAAAGACAGGCTCGAGTAGGAGCCAGTCCAGGTCTCCAATACTTGACCTTTTCTATAACTAAAAAGCGATTGTAAAACAAATTTATTCCATTAAAACGAAGTTGAATTTAAATAATATTAAAGGAAAGATGCATTTTTCACAACTATATTATCTTGATTCTATTTTCATAAACTATTATCGAGAGATTGCTATTTAACGTCAAGATTTATTCAACTCTAGAAGCAAGAATTGAATCATGATCTCTTATTTGCAAATATGTAACACTATGATTCCATTTCGTGAATATTTTGTCAAAAAAAAATTCAATAGTTGAAAATAGCATGTACAAGTATAAAGTTGTTTAATAGAACATATTTTTTCTGTCAATAGTGGAATTTAGGTGTTGATATCAAAATATATAAACGGAAAATTTCTTCAAATAGTGAGCAAGTGTTGCTAAAATGTGTGTATGTTTATGATATTGATATGGACTCTGAATAGGAATGCACCAAATCCTGCGACTATGTCTCAAAAGTTGCATATTTTTGATATTTAAAACCCTAAACTTTAGCAAACTTTTGTGTCAGACATAACTAGTTTTATCTGTTCTATCCGAAACTAGTGTTGAATTTTA